GAGAAATGCACTATGCCAAAAGAGACTGGCCATTACGCCAGTCAATTGCAGCCTGGAGAAAAAAATGTTAACTATCCAGCACTTGTAGACAGCAATAAGATCTTATTACCTCCATTACACCATCAAGTTGGGATTAATGAAAAACTTTGTTAAGGCAATGGACAAGAATAAAGCAGGTTTCAAGTACCTGATTAGCAAATTTCCAGCACTTAGTGCTGCAAAAATAAATGAAGGAGTCTTTGTTGGGCCACAGATTCGTAAACTTATTCATGATGATGAGTTTCTTTCTCTGTTGCGTGGAAAGGAAAAGGCTGCCTGGACAGCATTTGTATCAGTGACATCAAATTTTCTTGGAAACAATAAAACACCAGACTACAAGAAAGTAGTAGAAAAACTCATCCAGACTTACAGAAATCTGGGTTGCAACATGTCTCTAAAAATTCATTTTCTACATTCGCATCTGGATTTTTTCCCACCAAACTGTGGAGCAGTGAGTGATGAACACGGAGAGCGCTTCCATCAAGACATTGCAGCTATGGAAAGAAGATATCAAGGTAAATGGAGCCCATCAATGCTTGCTGACTATTGCTGGACAGTTGTAAGAGATAGCCCTTTCCTCGAATACAAGAGAAAAGCCAAGAGAAGCAAAACCGACACAAACTGAAGACAAAACTAGTGAGAAAATCCTAAGTATTAAAATGATTCAACTTAGCTTATGGCTATAATTTTTCTTGGTAATCCTATGCAATATATTATGCCATTTAGGCTTTGTTATGTAGTCAATATCACTTGCTTTATAGATTTGTGGAAAGACATCTATCTATATAATTATTGTGCATTATGTAGTCATTACGCCTATAGTAGAAAACTTTCCGTTTACAGAAAAACTAGAGCCAATTGACAAATTTCATTGTTTATATTTGAAATCAGAATGTGAAATTCATTAAGAAATGGATCCTTTTGTTTCCAAAACTGGCAAAAATAAAAATTGTTGAACAGTGTTATTTATCTTGATAAATATATATTTACTTTTTACTATTTTACTAATGTTTACTATTGTCTGTAATGCCATGCTGTATCCCACCACTAGGAGCTATATAACACACAGAAGACACACGATACAGTGGATATAAAAAGTCTACACACCCCTGTTAAAATGTCAGGTTTCTGTGATGTAAAAAATGAGACAAAGATAAATAATTTCAGAACTTTTTCAACCTTTAATGTGACCTATAAACTGTACAACTCAATTGATAAACAAACTGAAATCTTTTAGGTGGAGGGAAGTAAAAATAGAAAAAACTAAAATAATATGGTTGCATAAGTGTCCACACCCTTAAACTAATACTTTGTTGAAGCATCTTTTGATTTTATTACAGCACTCAGTCTTTTTGGGTATGAGTCTATCAGCATGGCACATCATGACTTGGCAATATTTGCCTGCTCTTCCTTTCAATTACACTCCAAATCTGTCAGATTGTGAGGGCATCTCCTGTGCACAGCCCTCTTTAGATCAGCCTACAGATTTTCCATCGGATTCAGGTCTGGGCTCTGGCTGGGCCATTCCAAAACTTTCATCTTCTTCAGCTGACGCCATTCCTTTGTTGATTTGGATGTATGCTTTGGGTCGTTCTCATGCTGAAAGATGAAGTTCCTCTTCATGTTCAGCTTTCTAGCAGAAGCCTGAAGGTTTTGTGCCAATATTGACTGGGACTTGGAACTGTTCATAATTCCCTCTACCTTGACTACGGCCCCAGTTCCAGCTGAAGAAAAACAGCCCCAAAGCATGATGGTGTTTCTTTTGGGGATGTGCAGTGATGTTTTTGCATCAAACATATCTTTTGCAATTATGGCCAAAAAGTTCAACCTTGGTTTCATCAGACCATAACACATTTTCCCACATGCTTTCGGGAGACTCCAGATGTGTTTTTGCAAAATTTATCCGGGCTTGGATGTTTCTCTTCATAAGAAAATCCTTCCGTCTTGCCACTCTACCCCATAGCCCAGACATATGAAGAATATGGGAGATTGTTTTCACATGTACCACACAGCCGGTACTTGCCAAATATTCCTGCAGCTCCTTTAATGTTGCTGTAGGCCTCTTGGCAGCCTCCCAGACCAGTGTTCTTCTCGTCTTTTCATCTATTTTGGAGGGACGTCCAGTTCTTGGTAATGTCTCTGTTGCACCATATTTTCTCCACTTGATGATGTCTTCACTTTGTTCCATGGTATATCTAATGCCTTGGAAATTCTTTTGTACCCTTCTCCTGACTGATACCTTTTAACAGTAAGATCCCTCTGATGCTTTGGAAGCTCTTTGCGGACCATGGCTTTTGCTGTAGGATGCGACTAAGAAAATGTCAGGAAAGACCTATTAGAACAGCTGAACTTTATTTGGGGTTAATCAGAGGCACTTTAAATGAGGTCAGGTGTGTACTGACTCCTACTTAACATGATTTTGAATGTGATTGCTTAATTCTGAACACAGCTACATCCCCAGTTATAAGAGGGTGTGCACACTTATGCAATCATATTATTTTTCGTAGTTTTTATATTTACTCCCCCCTAAAAGATTTCAGTTTGTTTTAAATTGAGTTGCACAGTTTATAGGTCACTTTAAAAGTGGAAGAAGTTCTGAAATGATTTATCTTTGTCTCATTTTTTTACATCACAGAAACCTGAAATTTTAACAGGGGTGTGTAGACTTTTTATATCCACTGTATATGGCATAAAAGCACCAAACAATAAGTCAATACGTCCTTCATAAGACAAGTGATATCAATTATAATTACTGATTTTACCATTTCCTGCCCGCCTATTGTAATAATAATACGGCCAGGTGGGTGCTCTTTTATCCTGGATGAACGTCATATGACTTTCTCCATCTTGCACGATTCCCTCTTGTGCACCCTGGGGCTGTGAATGATCAGAGGTCAGTGACACTGTACTGCTCTGGTGACAGTATGTATATATTTTGTATATTGTCACAGTCAGTGACACTGATCACTGCCACACCAGTCATATGGTGGCACTGTTCTGTAATGCTCTGGGCACTATAAATTATATGACTCATTTAAAGTGTTACTAAAACCCACAACAGTACAATCAGTCTGTAAATGTAGTAAAGCATGCTTGTTATACTCACTGTGGAACATAAGGGGTTAATCTTCTGCATTGTGTAAAAACGCTGTTCGATCCTGTCTTCTTTGATCCTCCCCTTCTTCCAGTGTCCCCCTCTTATCTTCTGCTAAGTCATATCATGTGGAGACACACTGTACATGCTCAGTTTGGTGTGTATTGCTAAAGTTTTTTTTTTTTTTTGGAACAGTGCAAGTGATCAGCACAGCGCCAATCAGCACTGTGCAGACAGAAGTCAGGGGTTCTGCATCCTCCTAGAGCAGAATGAAAACTCCTACAAGCTTTAACGGGTGCTCGGCCAGAAACTGATAGAAGTCACAAGACTGATATATACTGATGACGGTAAAAGGTATTTAGCAGTTTATATTTACTAAAATAATATTCTGTATATTCTGTTTATTATACACGGTGAGGGATGAATAGCTCTGCAAACGTTTTAAAATTACAATCCTGTGTCTGGTTTACAACTTGTCCTCCTCCATTATTATTTGTAATCCACGTCAATGAACACCCTGTGCTTCACAAATAACTCACCGGAAATGTTTCTAGTAATAATGGTCTGCAATGCGTCTTTTAAAAATGTTTCCCACGATCCTTTATATTTTGATGATTATCTTCCACTCACAGGCAGTACTATAAATAAAAGGCACAAATAATGTGGTAACATTGAAAAGTTTTATTAAAAATCCTAAACAAAAATTAAAGTGTTACTAAACCCACAACAGTAAAATCAGTCTGTATATGCAGTAAAGCATGCTTGTTATACTCACTGTGGAACCTCAGGGGTTAATCCTCTGCATTGTGTAAAAAGGCCGTTGATCCTGACTTCTCTGCTCCTCCTCTTGTTCAAATGTCCACGTCTCATCTCCTGAAAAGACAGACTGTACTGTAGCTATTCTGCACATGCTCAGTTTGGTGTGTATTGCTAGAAAGTTTTTTTTTCCTTGGGAGAGTGCATGTGATCAACACAGGGCCATTCAGTGCTGTCTAGAAGGTCAGGGGTCATGCAGCCTCATAGAACAATCAGGAGAGAATGAAAACTCCTCCTACAAGCTTTAACCAGTGCTCTACTGGACACTGATAGAAGTCACAAGACTGCTATATACTGCTGATGAGAAAAGGTATTTAGCAGTTTATATTTACTAAAATAATTGCATTTCCATGTTCTGTGTACTGTGGGAGAGCAGATATAGTGAATGCAGGGTCTGTGGAGACTGGATATAGTGAATGTAGGGTCTGTGGAGACCGGATATAGTGAATGCAGGGTCCGTGGAGACCGGATATAGTGAATGCAGGATCCGGGGAGAGCAGATATAGTGAATGCGGGGTCAGGGGAGATCATATATAGTGAATGCAGGGTCCGGGGAGACCAGATATAGTGAATGCAGGGTCCGGGGAGACCAGATATAGTGAATGCAGGGTCCTGGGGAGACCAGATATAGTGAATGCAGGGTCCGGGGAGACCAGATATAGTGAATGCAGGGTCCTGGGAGACCGGATATAGTGAATGCAGGGTCCTGGGAGACCGGATATAGTGAATGCAGGGTCCAGGGAGACCGGATATAGTGAATGCAGGGTCCGGGGAGACCAGATATAGTGAATGCAGGGTCCGGGGAGACCGGATATAGTGAATGCAGGGTCCGGGGAGACCGGATATAGCGAATGCAGGGTCCGGGGAGACCAGATATAGTGAATGCAGGGTCCGGGGAGACCGGAAATAGTGAATTTAGGGTCCGGGGAGACCGGATATAGTGAATGCAGGGTCCAGGGAGACCGGATATAGTGAATGCAGGGTCCGGGGAGACCAGATATAGTGAATGCAGGGTCCGGGGAGACCGGAAATAGTAAATTTAGGTTCCGGGGAGACCGGATATAGTGAATGCGGGGTCTGGGGAGACCAGATATAGTGAATGCAGGGTCTGGGGAGACCAGATATAGTGAATGCAGGGTCTGGGGAGACCGGATATAGTGAATGCGGGGTCTGGGGAGACCGGAAATAGTAAATTTAGGTTCCGGGGAGACCGGATATAGTGAATGCGGGGTCTGGGGAGACCAGATATAGTGAATGCAGGGTCTGGGGAGACCAGATTTAGTGAATGCAGGGTCTGGGGAGACCGGATATAGTGAATGCGGGGTCTGGGGAGACCAGATATAGTGAATGCAGGGTCCGGGAGATCAGATATAGTGAATGCAGGGTCCGGGGAGACCAGATATAGTGAATGCAGGGTCCGGGGAGATCAGATATAGTGAATGCAGGCTCCGGGGAGACCAGATATAGTGAATGCAGGGTCCGGGGAGACCAGATATAGTGAATGCAGGGTCCGGGGTTTAGGAACACTTTAAAGTGGAAGCATCTATACTGTGAATTCTAGGGTGGGTAGTTTTTATCTACATAAAAAAATTATTCAGTAATTTATAGCAATTTTTTGAGGGTTTTTTTCCCCACAATTGGAGTTTTAACATGGACTTTGTAGGCACAGCCTGGACAGGGTTTTTTTTTTCAAAATGTTCAGTTGTTTTTGGTTTGTTTAGCAAAAATAAAAAAAACCCAGAGGTGATTAAATACCACCATAAGAAAGCCCTATGTGTCTAAAAAAAATTATAAAAATTTCATATGGGTACAGTGTTGCATGACCGCTCAATTGTTATTCAAAGTGTGACAGCGCTGAAAGCTGAAAATTGGCCTGGACAGGAAGGGGGTATACGTGCCCTGTAGGCTAGTGGTTAAACCATCACCTATGGGTAATTTTAGGTGCCATAGTTTCTCAGCATTTCATGGGCATGCACAATTTTGAAATATTTGGTATCTATTTACTCTGTGCAATAGCATCTATTATATTTTACCCAAAAAATGGGTAAATGCACTAAAAATTGTGCTTAATAAATGGCTGTGCAAATATCGGGTGGCATAAAAAAAATTGCAACAACCATTTTATTCACCCAGGCCTCCTCTGCTTTCAGAAAATTTGGTATAAATTGTTTAGGGGCTCTAAATAATTGTCAAACAAAAAAATGCTGATTTTTAACGTGTGAAAAATGAAATAACTCCCCCGGACAGCAAGCTGGTAAAAGCAGATATGTGCTCTCTCCTAGGCATGCATAAAATCAAAGGCTTTTACCTATAAGTTACCGGAGATCAAACCTACAATGAAGAACTGGAATTTGTAGTTCTTCAGCGGTTTGGAGGACACATTTCTCCTCCACGATTAAATTCTGTGACCTGATTCAAATCATGATGGTTCAAATCAGGGGCGGACCGACAACTCAGGAGGCCCCGGGCAATAGGGGATCATGGGGCCCCTGTGTCCTTGCCCAAACTCAAAAAAGCCTATGAAAAAGGTACCAGGGGCATCTCATGGGGCCCCCTACTGACCCCGGGCCCTTGGGCAGTGCCCAAGTTTCCAAATGGTCAGTCCGCCCCTGGTTCAAATCTTTCAACCTAAAGGTCCAGTGATGAGAAGAAACACGTCATCTTGTAAAGTGGATTGCTGGAAAGAGTCTTAGCAAACAGTACGGAACACAAAACGATGCATGAATTCTTCGTCTTGTGACATTATAAAATGGAACATGCTGTGCCTTCTTCCTTTATATAATTAATCAATGCAAATTAATATCACATTTAGAACTTTATTTATGGTTTATAACTTTTTTTTTCTTAAGTCCTCATGCACACTTTTTTTTTTTTTTTTTTTTTTTACAGCGGCTGTTTTTGGCTTTTGACGTTTTTTTCTACAGATAGTAAAACCCCCCAGCATGTTATCCTAGGTGTCCGTGCACACACAGATTGTAATCAACGTTTTTTGCAGGGACATTTTTTGGCTGGAAAAAAAAACCCAGGACTAGTGGGTTTCTAGAGGAGTTTTTTAGCTGTAAAAACACTTTCATGCGGAAAATGCGGTAGAATGCTGCAAACCTGCATTTTTAGACTTTTTTTGACCCAAAAAATTTTTTTTTTTGGGTAAAAAAAACCCCTCTGAAAAACACAAACGTGTATCTTTGCTGTGGTCATTAAGCGCTGTCCTCTGATCTGAGTCCTCTTACCCCTCTGTTTGACAATCCCCAACATCCGAATAGCACAGATACCTCTATATACGGCTCTAACGACAGGTCCTCTTGGCCAACAGCGAGCTCTTTTGTCCACCCTTCTACGGGCATCTTTCTGCATACCTCTACCCACCGACCACCGACCATCTTCTCTTAACTGGTTGACTAGGATACACCTATCCACATATTGTAAAACCCTTTATTTCTCTGGAAAAGTGCACAGGCCCCTGTTGGCTTTCAAAAATATGTGCCTTCTTGACAAAGAACCTGGTCATGTCCTCTCTAAAGTATATAAATTGATAATTGCCACCACACATATTTCTTTCTTGGATACACAGAATATAACTGGATATAACATTTATAGGTGAAGTTGATCCAGGGAATATCCGATTGCCTCTCGGGGGATCAGGAAGGAATTTTTTTTCCCAGCAGGAGCAAATTGGATCATGCTTTGCTGGGATTTTTTTGCCTTCCTCTGAAACAACTGTGGGTATAGGGTTATAACTTTTTTTTTTTCTATGGTTGAACTGGATGGACTTTTGTCTTTTTTTAGCCAGACTAACTATGTAACATACCTCTCTGCCCACTTATTCGGGCAGAGGAGCCGGGCATAGAGATCTCCCCAGTTGAGTGGCAGAAGGCATTTATTTTCACCCACAAATCCTCTGTATCCAACTACATACAAGAAAAAAATTATAAAGTACCGTATTTTTTTCGCTCCATAAGATGCACCTAGGTTTTAGAGGCTGAAAACAAGAAAAAATATTCTGAACCAATGGACTGCAGACATAGTACAGGAGATGACCAGAGACTGCGGACATAGTACAGGAGATGACCAGAGACTGCAGACATAGTACAGGAGATGACCAGAGACTGCGGACACAGTACAGGGGATGACCAGAGACTGCGGACACAGTACAGGAGATGACCAGAGACTGCAGACATAGTACAGGAGATGACCAGAGACTGCGGACATAGTACAGGAGATGACCAGAGACTGCGGACATAGTACAGGAGATGACCAGAGACTGCGGACATAGTACAGGAGATGACCAGAGACTGCAGACACAGTACAGGAGATGACCAGAGACTGCAGACATAGTACAGGAGATGACCAGAAACTGCAGACACAGTACAGGAGATGACCAGAGACTGCGGACATAGTACAGGAGATGACCAGAAACTGCAGACACAGTACAGGAGATGACCAGAGACTGCGGACATACCGTATTTTTCGCTCCATAAGACGCACCTGACCATAAGACACACCTAGGTTTTAGAGGCAGAAAACAGGAAAAAAAAAACTCTGAACTAATGGACTGCAGACACAGTACAGGAGATGACCAGAGACTGCAGACATAGTACAGGAGATGACCAGAGACTGTGGACATAGTACAGGAGATGACCAGAGACTGTGGACATAGTACAGGAGATGACCAGAGACTGCGGACATAGTACAGGAGATGACCAGAGACTGCGGACAGCACAGGGATGACCAGAGACTGCGGACAGCACAGAGATGACCAGAGACTGCAGACAGCACAGAGATGACCAGAGACTGCGGACAGCACAGGGATGACCAGAGACTGCGGACAGCACAGGGATGACCAGAGACTGCGGACAGCACAGAGATGACCAGAGACTGCGGACAGCACAGGGATGACCAGAGACTGCGGACAGCACAGAGATGACCAGAGACTGCGGACAGCACAGAGATGACCAGAGACTGCGGACAGCACAGAGATGACCAGAGACTGCGGACAGCACAGGGATGACCAGAGACTGCGGACAGCACAGGGATGACCAGAGACTGCGGACAGCACAGGGATGACCAGAGACTGCGGACAGTACAGATGACTGCTGACCTTTGGGGAGGGAGGGGGAGCGTGTTCCTGAATTTGACAGGTACCCGCTCTTACTTCCGCAGAGTTTTTGTTTGATCTTACCTGTTCCTCAATCCAGCGGCGCGCTGTCTTCCCGGCTTCTGTAATGGCGCTCGGCATGACAGCCGGATGCCCAGTGCGCATGAGCGAGAAGCAGTTGCGCTTTGTGATTGGTCCGGCGGCTTCTGGGATCTGTCATGTGTCCCAGATACCGCCTTACCATTCACAAAAAGCCCCGCTTCTTGCGCATGCACACTTGGCACCCGGCTGTCATGCCCAGTGCCCACACTACAGAAGCCGGAAGACAGCGCGCCGCTGGATAGAGGAACAGGTAAGGTCAAAGAACAAAGAAGTAAGAGCGGGTACCTGTCCAATTCAGGTACCCGCTCCCCACCTCCCCAAAGGTCAGCAGTCCTCTCCATAAGGTCACGCTGCAGAGCTGAGCGGCCCGGCCCGGGATTCTGCACGGCGGCGGTGGAAATACCGGACCGGCCGCTCTATATTCGCTCTATAAGACGCACTGACATTTCCCCCCCTTTTTTTGGGGGAAAAAAGTGCGTCTTATGGAGCGAAAAATACGGTAGTACAGGAGATGACCAGAGACTGCGGACATAGTACAGGAGATGACCAGAGACTGCAGACATACTACAGGAGATGACCAGAGACTGCGGACATAGTACAGGAGATGACCAGAGACTGCGGACATAGTACAGGAGATGACCAGAGACTGCGGACATAGTACAGGAGGTGACCAGAGACTGCGGACACAGTATAGGAGATGACCGGAGACTGCGGACACAGTAT